AGCTCGCTATTACCCAACCTGACAGCTCGCCATGAATGGCAGCTCGCTACAAGATAATACTCCGTTGCCCCGAGCTAAGAGTCCCCCAAGTAGGGAGCACCTTGAGGTAAGACTCCCCAAGTAGGGAGCACCCTGAGCTAAGATTCTCCCAAGTTGGGAGAATCCCGAACTGAAGACACTTTGGGTTAAGCTCGTCAGCTCCCTAACTAGAATAAGCTCGCTCCTGTCCAAAACTAAGTAGACTATCTCGGAGATCTACCTCGGGTAGAAGCACCTCGGCACATCACCAGCAACTCGGTGTAAGGTAGCTCGCTGCAGAGCAGTACGACGTATCGCAGGGGATTTTCTGCCTGACAACCGTACCTGCCAAACCTAGAGACTGCACCCACGTCTCTTGCCTGGCGGCGTCGTGCCTGCCAACCCTGGAGGTTGTTTCTTGTCTGGCAGGACCGTACTCTGCAGCGATCACCTCTGCCCGACAGCTCAGCTCTGACAAATAATGGCCAGCCACTCCAAGACGTTATTAGATAGCAGATCGCCGCCGCAGAGATTCAAAGGCAGTTGCACCTGACATGTCAAGATACTAGTATATAAGGACCTCGACCCCCAGAGGCGAAGGTAATTGCGTGATCATCACTCTAGCTCTTTAATTTCTCTGCAACTCTCTCTCTCTCTCCCAGCTTTCAATCTGGTTACTAACTTAACCGTCGCAGTGTTCCTGCCGGGTGAGCCCCTCGGGTTCCTTCATCTTCTTCCTCGCAGGTACCTCTTGTCCAACACCAGCTAGGAGCGCAGCCACTTCCAGCTTGGAGTGACCAAATCATGCACCATCATTTCTCTTTCCTTCTTCTTCTTTCATCTCTCTTTTCTCTCCTATTGTACTTTCTCCATTGGCCACCTGTTTGTTGAAGATGCTCTATTCCTTGGATACATGTCGAAAGAGCTGAGGTGGGATTCTATCCAAAGTTTAGTGAATCAGACCATCCATAAAAATTGGAAAAGGGAGAGGTTCAACTGGGGTTAAATTGTGATGATGTCATATATACATATATATACTATCAGTCATATAAATACTTTATATAATATATTTTACAAATTTTATTATATTAAAATATGGTGGATGGATAACAAGTTCCTTAATTTTTAAAGCAAATGACCACGGTTCAAGTCCCATAGTTTACATTTTCTTTAATTAACATAAATAAAGAAGTGGGACCATGGGTTCAACTTTTGTAACATGCATTTTGAAATTTCAATTACTTAATGACTTAGATGGTTTCATGAAATTGGGACTAGTTCATCAATTTTTAGTTGAATTTAAACAATTTTGATTAGGCTAGGTTTGGAAAGGGGGTAAATACAAAATTGAAAGGTGTAAATTAACATTCCACTGGTTTGAAAAATACAAATCGGTTTATTTTTGCATGACTAATTTATGCTTTTCGCGTTTGACACCAAGATGTAAAACATTCGATGTAAAAAAAATGATCGTTTGATTATGGATTGTGCCATTTAACATCTTAACATATGCCTATAACATTTCTGGACCGTTACAGTTTGATTGTGGATTGTGGATTGTGCACTTTAGAGATGGCTCACAAACCTGCCTCCAAGGTTGCTGCCCAGTCCCTAGATCTGAATTTGACAGAATACTACCACCGTCACCCTTAAGCCCAATTCTAAGCCCTCCAACACCATAGCCGCTTCCCGAAACAACTTTGCCACCGTCACCACTTCCTCTCTTTTCCTCAACACCCAATTCACCAATCATGAGTCTCTCCCTTCCTTCTCAGAGTATTTCTCTCACTTCAACAAGGCCTACCCTGATTTCTCCTAAACCCATCTAGCTGACCGCATCAGAGCCCAGGAATACTCAAGGTTCTAAATATTGACACGGGCCGGTACGCCAGTGTCACTGTTTTTTTTATGTTTCATATTTTTTTAAAATTGGTTCAGAGGGGCCGGTTTAAGGCCCAACTACCCTTTAAACCAGTGGCTGACTCGATACAACCCTTGTAGGGGAGTATCAGGAAGCCATTGACACGATACATATCAGTCGATACGGGCTGATACGTGTCAATACTTTGAACCTTGGGAATATTACCACCATCACCATTTCACTGAAATATTCACTAAAATTCAACAGAAAAATGAACTAGAATTCATCCAAAATTCACTGAAATTTCACATAAATATTCACTGAAATTCTATAAAAAAATGAACTAAAATTCTACAAAAATCTACTGAAATTCCACATAAAAATTCAGAGGACTGTTCACTAAAATTCTACAGAAAAATCAAGTAACGTTCCACAAGAATCTATTGGATTTTCAAGATTATGATTCGGATTCGAATTATTTGATCTAATCTGATTTGATATAATAAAAAACTACATGATATAATATAAATAAACAGATAAACTTTTCCAATTCAATTTGATTTGTTGT